AGCAGATCCCTGAATAACTAGGTCAAGAGTTCACCTTGTTTTGCACTCATCAAAACTACCTTGGAGCTGAAGTGGTTTACCAAGGGTCATATGTTGAAAGCATACAAAGACATATGCCTGGGGCAATGAATAACAGACAGGCAGGGAAAATAAAAAGCCTAAAAAGGAAGAGGCTGGGGAAGAAGACATATTTGAGAAAACAGAATAGAAATATTAGGTATGAAAAGTAACAATAAATAAAAGGAAAAGAAAGGTGTATTAGCATCTATTTGAAAGGAAAAAATAAAATGGAGAGAAAGAAATGTTTATAAAAATAAGAGATTAAATATGCCAAAATTAAAGATGAAAGAGTTCATATTAGAAGAACCCACAAAGTGCCAAAAGGAGAAATAAGAAAATATCACCTGAACCTACTCATAATTAAATTTTAAAGTATATCAAAGCAAAATAACATACATTAAAAGAATCTAGAAAAAACAAATAACATATGAAATAAAAAAAGAAGATGGGACTTTTCAATAGTTATACTGGATTCAAAAAAGATAATGGAGTAGTATTTTCAAAGCATTAAATGGAAAGAATGAGTGTTGAACCCGGATTTCTATATGCAATTAAATTTGTCTTTCAAATATGATGGCATACAGGGCACGAATTTACATGGATGTATCTATATAAAATGTATGATATTTGCATTTTCTACATATAAATTATACTTCAATAAAGAGTTTTTAAAAGCACAGAATGTGGGAGATGGTAAGGCAATGGAAGTGTATTATTTTCATTTTCCCAAATTCTCATGTTAAAAACAGAACAACTAGATAAAACCAAGAACAGAACAGATGAATAAGAAAATGATACCAGACATGAAAAAACAACATAAATCCAAGTTAGATAAATTCATAAATAATAGAGAACTCAAGAAAGAATTAGAAAAGGTATTTTAGAAATAAAGCCCAAATAAGAATAAACATAACGAATAATGTCTCCAGAAAAATAAAAAGTAAAAAGTAAGAAAATGTTAAAATTCAAGAAGAAATGAGACAAGTGGGCATAGTGGCACACAATGGCAATCCCAGCAACTTGGGAGGCTGAGGCCCTCAGCAACTTAGTGATACCCTGTCTCAAAATTAAAATATACATATATGGCTGGGGATGTGACTCAGTGGTAAAGCACCCCTGGATAAAATCTCCAGGACCCCAGCCCACCCAAAAAAGAAGTATTGAGACAAAAAAGGATTCAAGAGAAAGTAACATTACTTACCATAGACAAAGAGGATCCAGCAAATGAGTAATAGATATTCCTGAAGAAGAAAATTAAAAATGCAATTCCTCATTTCAAAACTTACTACAGGGGCTGGGGATATAGCTCATTTGGTAGAGTGTTTGCCTCGTATGCACAAGGCCCTGGGTTCAATTCCCAGCAACACACAAACAAAAAATTTACTACAAACTTCAGTAATTAGGACAGGGTGGTACTACCACAAAGACAGAAATACAGATCAATGAAGTAGAATGGAAATTCTAGAAATGAACATTTAAACATTTATGGTTATCTAATTTTTACAAGAGTGTGAAGAATATTAAATGGGACAAAAAATAGTCTTTTCCCTAGATGCTCCCAAGATAACTGGATATTCACATGCAAAATGACCCTCAAAATAGATTAAATACCAAATTAGAAGAATATAAACCATAAAAGCCCTAGGAGAAAATACAGAATTCTTTCATGACCCTTGGTTAGGCAAAATTTTCTTAGATAAGACACTAAAAGCATTGGCAAAGAAAGAAAAAACCCAGATAAATTGAACTTAAATAAAATTAAAACCAGTGGGGTGCCGTGGCACACGCCTGTGATTCCAGCAGTTCGTGAGACTGAGGCAAGAGGATGGCAACTTCAAAGCCAGCCTCAGCAAAAGGAAGGTGCCAAGCAATTCAGTGAGACCCTGTCTCTAAATAAAATACAAAATAGGGCTGGGGATGTGTGGCTCAGTGCCCAAGTGTCCCTGAGTTCAATCCCCAGTACCCTCACCCCCAAAATTAAAATCTTGTTTACTTTAAAGGACATGTCAAGAAAGTGTAAGACAACTCACAGAACAGGAAAATCCTTAAGAATGATTCTGCTGGTAAAAGACTGGTATCAAAAATATATAAAGAATGCTTGTAATATAACAATAAAAGATTACCCAATTAAAAATTTTAAAAAAAGATCCAACAGGCATTTCTCTAAAGAAGCCTAAGAAAAAAATCCATGAAAAGATGTTCAATAACACTGGTCTTCAGGAGGATACAAGATAAAAATCACAATAAAACATTACTGCACATCTACTAGTATGACTCAAATTTTAAAAAATATTAACAAATGTTGACAAGGATATGAAGAAATTGGAACCCTCAGTAGTCCCTCTTTATCTGCACATATCTATATGTTCCCAGATCACTAGTGGATAGCACCAAATCCTATATACAAGCACTGTGATACCAACAGTCAATCTGATGAGTGACTAATAGACTTGTAGTACATGCAGTCTAGATACACTGGACAAAGGAATAATTTATGCACCAGGCATAAGTTTCCACTACTCAGAAAGGCATATAATTTAAAACTTTGGAATTGTTTATTTCTGGAGTTTTCAATTTAATATTTTGGACTACAGATGACCCACAGGTAAATGAACCACAGAAAGAGAAATGTGGATAAGGGGAGAATACTGTATATACAAATGAGCTCCAACAGAAGAAAAAGTATGTATTCTATAGCTATTAGGCACATATGTACATATATACACACACACACACACACACACACACACATACATATACACAGATATGTATGTATACAATATACAAAAATCAAGCTTGGCAATGCTGGTCAAATCTGTATTTAATCAATTTTAAGTGTTGGCTGCTTTAGAATATTTTTCTTTTTAAGTTTTGATAAAATATCTTTATAAGTGTTCCTACAAACCAGATATTAATACTAAAAAAGGAAATTAAGAAATACATTTCATATCATTTCATAGCCATTAGCAAGGAACTTGAAACATAGAACAACTTTTTAAACAATCCCTATTCCTTCTCATACTTTCTATAGGAGAGCTGTTTCCTAGCCTGACTATCCTCTGGGAGCTTTTTAAAAATATAGGCTCTTTATGCTCCTAGACATGCTGCACAAGAATCTTCAAGGATGTGATACAGAGATCCGAAACTATTTTTAAAAACCCCAAGGTAATTCTGATGCAGCTAACCCAGTACCTAAGTCCAAGCTCACACCTGTCATTCATTGCTATATACCATTCAAGATTCATCTTCTTCAAAACCCTTAAAACTCTTAGTCTTCCTCCTCAAAATTCTCAAATGGCTCCCTGCAAACTATAACACTATTGGAATAGTATTCAAGTTCTTTGTTGATTTGATGCCAACTGACCTTTTCAGTCGTGTCTCCCTCAGCTCTAATTCATAAATTCAACACTTTATTCAAACTGATGTTAAGACTTCCTTATCCATGGGTTCCTCATCCACAGATACAACCAAAGATTGAAAATATTTTTTTTAAGTTTCATCTGTATTGAACACATATAGGCTTGTTCCCTTTGTCTTTATTTCCTAAACAATATAGTATAACAACTATTTACAAAGCATTTACATTGCATTAGGAATTATAAGTTATCTAAAAATGATTTAAAGTAAACAAGAGGATGAGTGTTGGTTATATGTAAATACTATGCCATTTTATATAAGGGGCTTGAATATCAGTGGGTTTTGGTATGAGGAGGATCCTGGAGTCAATCCCCTTATACATACTGAGGGATGATTGTATTCACTAACCCCCAGACATGGTTTTGCACTTTTACTGTCACCAATTCTCTTGCCTAGAATGTCTTTTCCCTTCTTTATTTGAGTACAAGTCCCTCAAGACTTCACTCAAAACGCTACCTCCTTCCTAAATCTTATCCATACACTCTCTTCTCCAAGCCTAAAGTAATTCTCCCTCCTCTGAGTACTGATTTACCTACCTCATTGGTCAATTAATCAATTGGTCACGTAATCTCTTCTACTATGGTTCTAAACTATTCTTTAAATCATTTTTTTAAAATTTAGGTTTAAGTATTAAATTTTATCCAATTAGTCTATATACTCAATAAGGGCATAGAACATATTTTGTATCTACCATACCAAGTTTCATAATGCTTCACTAAGAAAATACTCATATAAACATTGATTTAATTGAAATCCCTTCCACCTGGAAGGTCTTCACTCTCACTTTGATAGAGAACTAGGATGAAAGGTTAACATAGGTTTGGGAGTCAAAGGAAAGATTTCTCCTTTTATGTTTTTATTAGTGTACAGTTATTACTTCCATACAATCTCATCTCTGGCCTTATTTTGATACTTTCTTTAATTTAAAGGTAGGATGTAGGAAGGACAAGGCATCCCAAGTCAAAACTAAAACCCAGAGAAACCAGAAAACAAAGCTACAGCACTTCTCTTATTCTTCTCCTCCTCTATCACAAAATTCCTATATTCTTCATAATTTTACCTGTGAACTATCAGACTTGGGGGGAAAAAAACAGAAGCTATACTACCAGGACAAAATCTTGAGAAGTTTTTTTTTTTTTTTTTTTTAATGGTAGACTTCAATGTGATCAGGATGCAATGTGCAGCACAGGACAGACAAGCTAAAGTCATCTCTCACCAGCATGTTGGTATTTTATAATTTTGAATCAAGTCACACAGGCAGAAATCGGTTCAGGTTCTAGCAGCTGCTTCCTGGAGAAACTTAAAGGTAACAGCAAAGGGGAAAATATAAGTGGGATCTTAAAATTTATATTTACTTCAACATATTACAGTATCACAAAAATAAATTAGGTTCACTATAGAGAATTTGAAAATATAGAGCCTAGAAAATAATAATCATATATTATCCTAGCACCCAGAAATAAACAGTTTTTACATTTGGGTGTGCTTTCTTTTTTGGGTGTGCTTTCTTTTATTTCTTTAGAAACAATATGGAATGCTTCACAAATTTGTATGTCATCCTTGTGTGCAGAGGCCATGCTAGTCTTCCCTGCATCATTCCCATTTTAGTACATTTACTACCAAAGCAAGCACTGCATGTGCTTTCTTTCAAACTATTTCTTTTTCTCTCACATATATTTTTTTTCAATTTAAGGAGAGGGAAATGCGAATGACCTTGATTTGATCACTACACATTGAATATATGTACCAAATTATCATGTGCCATAAATGTTATAATCTCTATGTCAATTAAAAATTTGGCTAAATTTTTTTAAAAGTACAATTATTTGGCCTATTGAATTTGTATCCTGCTTTTTATACCGAACATTACATGACATGCATTTTCTCCGTCATTAAATTTTCTTGGCAAAACATCATTTTATTTCCCTAAGTGTTATAAAACTTTTTCAACTTTTCTATTACAATTAATACAGTAAAAAATATCCTTGAATTCATTTATAAACTCTTGTGCACTTTCTTAATTGTATCCTTGGGATAGATTCTTAGAAGTAGAATTGTTGGGTCAAAGGGCATGAACATTTTTTAAGTTTTTTTTTATTTTATCTGAGAAACTGCCCTCCAGAAATGCTGTGTCAACTTACATTCCCAGTAGTGGTGCATAAAAATCATTTGAATACAGCAACACTGAGGTATATGTATGTATATTTTTTACTATTGTCAATAGGACTGAGGATCTTCCTGTTTTTAACTCATTTCTTTGATTTTAAAAATAAAGTTGGGGAGCTGGGGTAATGGCTCAGTGGTAGAGCTTGCCTAGCATGTGTGAGGCACTGGGTTTGATCCTTAGCACCACATAAAAATAAACAAATAAAATAAAGGTAATGTGTCCATTTATAACTAAAATAATTAAAAAAAACAAAGTTGGGCATCTTTTCTTATACGTATTAACTATTTATCCCATATTCCTTTTGCTTATGAATAGCCTCATCACTTCTTTATCTTCCAATTGGGTTTTTGGTCTTTTTGTTAAAAAAAAAAAATTCATCTGTATAAGTTCTTCGTGTGTAAGTGTATTAACCCTTTATTGACCTTATGTTATAAATGTTTATGGTTTTTATGTCATCTTTGACAAAGACATATGTACTATTTTTCCACCATCAAATTTATTAATTCTGTTTCTTTGTTCTCATGCTTAGAAAATCCATTCTTACCCTGTAAATAATACCTCTTTAAGATATATTTATGGTTTCTGCCCTCCCTACTGCACCTTGTCCCTCATAAATGATACTATTTAGAAAGTGATAATTCTCCCTCTGATATATCTGATTTACACAATTGTTATGTTATTGTAAATCATCATTTTTGTAATGTTGACATCAACAACAAATAATCACAGAATAGTTTTCTTAATAAATTATTTTGTCAAATATTAAAAGGAATAGTCATATTATTTTTTTCTTTTAAGGTTGAATTTGGTAATATTTAATTCCTAATTCATTTGCTGTTTTTGGCATATGATATTAAGTAAAAATCTCTTTTTTCCTCTACTGATCTGAATTCTGAAAAATTTGTCAAATACCAAATTTATATTTGGGTCAGTTTCAACATTTGATATCTGGTCTCATTAACCTCCCTGACTATACATATGCCAGTACCAAATTGCTTACTTTATAATATAGCCTAATATCGGATAGGATCAGTTTTTCCTTTCAAACACACCTGCATTACTCTCTAAACCAAATTTCATTGGTTTGTCTCACCAGTTAACACTTCCAGAGCAGCTTGACAAAATAATATTGTCAAAGCCTCCTTAAATTTTTGTAGGTATGTTGACAAGATTCCACTCAATCTATTAACTAGATTGATGTTGGGGAACATCAACATCAATATAATATTGGATAATCTAGTATTTTTCTCATTTGAATTTTCCTTAATGTACTTCAGTTAAGTTTTACAGTTTTGGTCATATGGTCTCAAACATTCTATATAAATTTGTTGCTAATGTGCATATACACTATTGATATCATGAGAATCCACTCATTTTATTTTCTATAAACTAAGAACATCTCTGCAATACATGGAAGCATGTGGAACCTTTGTACTAACCCGTATGATTATACATTTATAGATTAAAAGCTTGCATGTAGAAATTTCCACAGAAACCATCTGTGAGAATCAATTAAGGTGCTTTTAAAGAATATATTCTCCCCTCAACTCCCAACCCTAGGCAACATTCCTTCCTGAAATCTTGAATGCTTTATAAGTACCCAAGAATAGATTGCTATAATTACTAAGATTATCAGCTTCCTAACATGACTCAGGAGGCCCTGCATAGTTAGACCCACACCTCTCTCTCTTCTTCTCTAGTCTTATAGTATCTTACCCTGTGCTCTTGGACTCCCAATCACTACAGAGCTTTAGTACATGTGTTTCCCTCTGCCTGGAATGCTCTCCCTTTTCTTCTTTGCCTATTTAACTCCTACTCATCCTTCAGATCTTTGCTCAGGCATCATTATCTCATAGAAGGCTCTCCTAACTTTCTTGATAAGGTGCAAGTCTCATGGCAGCATGCACCTTCCAGTATAGCACTTGTCACTTTTCCAATTCTGCATTTTAATTTGTTGTCATCATTTCATGTTTGTATCTCCATATCCCCATCTATTTGACCCATCTGGTCCATGGAGGGCAGGACTAAGCCTGTTTACCCCTGGCCAACCACATTTCTTGACACACAATATTCTTTCTGATTATTTGTTAAATTAACAGTTAAAAACACTAACAGTAAATCTGGAGTAACTTGACATTTCTATTACCAGCAACTGTCTTTAAAATTTGGTTCAACTTCTCAACTTTTCAGTTGATTTCAAATATAATGGTAACAGAAAACCCAAGGAAAGAAGAGAATGACAGCTCCACCCATTCCTGAATTTCTTTGTGGATGTTCATCTCAGTAGTCCTTAGGTCAGAATTCCAGGAAGAATTGAGCAATGGTTAATATACATAAAAGTCTGCTGAAATGAAGAGAATTAAAATCCTAAAATGCCATGGCAGAACAATCTTCTATTAGAAGTTAGGAGCACTTGGTTCTTCTGAGCTGGGTTCATTCATTATCTCACTATGCTACAAGCCATGTGATTCTTCATTTTCTCAATTGTAAGATCAGTAAAATGGAATAGATTACCCCTGAAGTCTCCTAATGCCAAATCTGATAAATCTATGATTCATGTGTAATTGCTTATTGTACTTAAGAAAAGCAACTGCTTTTTCTGGCAATTAAAACATTAGCTAACAAGCCATTTGAAATGCCATCCAAGAGTAAACCAAGTTTACTTAAATGAAATTTGGATGGAATACAATATTTGACTTTCCAATATGACTATCACTGAAATCTGTTTTATTCACTAAAATTCTATTTTTAAGTAAAATTCTTTCATGAAGTACTTATGAATTTCAAACTTCAGCAAATCAAAAATGAAAGTGAACTCATCAAAAGATCACTGCCGCGTGTGGTGGTGCATGCCTGTAATCCCAGGGGCTCCAGAGGCTGAGGCAGGAGGATCGTGAGTTCAAAGCCAGCCTCAGCAAAAATGAGGCACTAAGCAACTCAGTGAGACACTAAATAAAATACAAAATAGGGCTGGGGATGTGGCTCAGCGGTCAACTGCCCCTGAGTTCAATCCTTCATACCAAAAAAAAAAAAAAAAAAAAAAAAAGACTACATGACATAATTGTACACACATTTGGGATGGGGAGCCTTTACAGTGTTAAAATGACCTTTCAACCCACAGTGATCTATAGATTCAATGCAATTCCTATCAAAATCCTAATGGCATTTTGTGCTGAGATTGAGAAAAACATCCTAAATATCCTATAGACTCCCAAGGGATCTTGGATAGGACAAGATTACTTTGAAAAAAAAAAAAAAGAACACAGTTGTGTGCCTTGTAAGAAATTTTAACATATTAGAATAATACATCCTATGACTAGTAACCTGAAAACCATATTAGCTATAAAAACTATAATTACTTGCTATTCAATGTTTTTCTATCCTAAGTACAACCTAAATTATTAAAAGTCTGAACATTAAAATGAAGGTTTTAAAAACACTGATGATAGTTCAGATATAGATGAGTTTAAATATCATAAATAAACTAAGTAAGTTCATTAAAGAGTAAATAAAATAATTAAGTTTGGTCACAACACTTGGATTTATTCCTGGAATGCAAGGATGAATCAACAGACGAAAATCAGTCGATTTAAGACATCACTTTAGTAGAAAGATAAAACCACACTATCATCTCAATGCAGAAAAAGCATTTGACAAAATTCAACACCATTCATGACAAAAATGTTTAAAACACTAAGAACAGGAGGAAACTAACTCAATATAAAAAGAGTGCTATATAAAAAATATATACAACAGCAAAAGACTGAAAGCTTTTACTCCAAGATTAGGAACAAGGTAAGGATGCCCATTCTTACCACTTCTATTCAATACAGTATTTAGCTGTCCTATCCAGAGAAATTAAACAAGAAAACAAAATAAAAAGCCTCCAAAGTGTACAGGAAGAATGATCAGATGACATGATCATATATGCAGAAAGCCCTAAACATTCCTCAAAAACACTGTTAAAGACAGGGTATAGTCGCATATATCTGTAATCCCAACTACTCAGGAGGCGGGGACAAATAGATCACAAGTACAAGGCTAGTCTTGGCAATTTACTGAGACTATGTCTCAAAATAAAACTAAAAAGGTCTGAGGATGTAGCTCAGGGCTAAAGCGCCCCAGGTTCAATCCCCAATACTGCCTTTCCCCCAAAAAACCTGTTAAAATAACAAATTCAGTAATGGTTGCAAAGCAAAAATCAATCATATTTCTATACACTAACAATGAACATTACAAAAAGAAAATTAAGAAAATCTCATTTATAATGGTATCAAAAAATAAAATACAATGCTTAGGAATAAACTTCATCAAAGAGGAGAACGATTTATACATTGAAAACTACAAAATATTGTTGAAAGAAACTGAAGAGGACACAAATGCATGGAAAGGCATCCAATGTTCATGGACTGGAAGACTTTACATTGTTAAAATGACCATTCAATACATAGTGATCTACAG